AGAACAGAATCTATGATCATGTAAGTATACCAAGATAGTTATATAGTCAAATTCTATTTATGAAGGAGTATAAATTGTCATCTTTTGTTTGTGTTTGTACACTGAAATAGTTTCTTGCTGTCATATATGACAACTTTCAGTGCCTCATATTATTTTAAAAAGAGAGAATTCATTCTAGTTAAATGAAGAATTTATACAATCATCAAAACAGAAATATGTTAATGTTGAGGGGAAAATATTGTATATTGTGTAAATACAGATACCCTGTCTTATGTACAGTGTATGTGTAACTTGTTTGTATGTTACATTTTCCAAAGGCCCTAAATTATCTTACTATGTTAAGAATGAAGTATTATACAGTACATGTAAAGTTTAAGACATAACCTCTGTGCCACATGTTTCCAATTTTTAAATTACCTTTTTTCATATCCCTTTCAAAGTAATACACATATTAAGTATCATAAAATTGATGAAGATGCATGTTTAACTGTCTTTGCCTATGAATTGACCAAAAGAAAGATTAATTATGTTGAATCCTGAGTATGTTTCCTTAATTTCAATCCTTTTGTATCATTGACACCATCATTGTTATCCTTACAGTTTCAGCGCACCTACGGCACAGTGACACCTTTCAGGATGTCCAAGATCTTGTTCCTGACCCCAGGAAGTGTTATTGTAGACTACACTTTGACCTACGACCCCAATGCTGCCCCAGCTGCTTCTAGTCTGGAGCAGAGGTTCAATGACACGGTGACCTCTGTGACCCTTGAACTCACAGAGGGGGTCAGCACTGGGCTTTACCTGGAGGTCAATGGGGTCAAATCTGGAAGTGTACAAGGTATGGAATTTATGTTCTTGTTTTAGTTTGAAATGGTTTATAGATGTTCAGAATAAAATTAGTAGGCAATGTTATTTTAGAATGAAAGAAATCTAGTGTCTTCTTTTTTTTATCACACAGTGGTATACAAATGAATAGTCTACAGTCTAAGTTGCAGTTGTATTCTGTTTTCTTTTCAGCATTTTGCTATACTTAACATGCATATTATATTATACAATCTAAATGCTCAATTTACATATTATTCTTTCAAACAGGAAAATTTGATTTCTAAACATATTATTGTACTGTGCACCAGTTGATGGCCCACATATATACCTTCTCGCAGCTTAACATCGTGAAAAATTTGTAAATCCTTTTATTTAGATATCAAAGTCAGTTGAATTCAGTTACTGCAATACTGCTTTACTCATGATAAACAGTATCAGCGACAAGTTGCAGTTTCATTCATAGCTGAATGGTAAGATTGCATTTTTATTACTCAACGTTATCTTTTTTGTTTATTTTAATAGCTGTTTGTTCCAGTGACTACTGTTTGAATGGTGGCACATGTATGATCACAAACTCAACCTCATATGATGTCAGCTGCAGGTGAGCCAATTTAAGTCAATTTCAGGGATGAAATCATCTGTGGTCAATTGTCTGTTTACAAAAATATACAAACAATATGATAATGCCCATTTACTGTTATGAATTGATATTTCAGTAGCAACGGAGGTGAAGTTGGATTGAGAGAAAGGAAGAGGAAGAAGATGTCAAGGTGAAGTGGGAAATTTGCCAAAACTATGATTTTCTAAGATTGTTTTATAAAAAGAATATTGTTTTTATTCAAATTTCTTCGCTGATAATCATTTTGAAGTCTAATATATTTATTTAATTGTGTCTCTATTTTCAGCTGTCCGTACCGATACTATGGCGAAAGATGTCAAAGCCAAGGTGAGTAAGAGAATTGCCATTCATTATGGGTGCATTTATACACAGCCCGCTCTCGACTCTTTTTCGCTAAAATTTATTTAAATTTGGTTTGATAATGATATAGGTCATCATTTTTTTAGATTGTAAAAGGAAGAAATGTTTAACTACATATATCTACCTGAATTTGTAAGTTTTGGGGGCAATGTTAAAAGGACTTTCTGTTTTTAGACAAATTCAGTGTTTTATCAAATTTTCATATCAATCAATTACACAGATTTGGTTTACCATGGAAGGGCCAGTATAGATCGAGGTCCATATATTACAATTCAGTTTACAAAAAAGCACTGATGCTAGTTTTGCCCTAAATTTGTTTTATGCAAAGCAAAAACATCAGTTTGAAGTAAGGAAATATTGAAAATACAATTTAAAAAAAATGAGGATATAGGAAAGGAAGAAAAAGTGATATAAAAAGATAAGAAATACATAGGAAAAAGAGAGTGGTAGTAATGTATGAAATGGCGGGATTACAGGAGATGAAGGAGAAGAAGAATTTTTATTTTATTTTTATTTTTAAAATAAATATTATTAATGTGTTTTTGTTATCTTTGATTTACATTATGCTATAAATCCTTTTTGAACTACGCTTGTGCAAGGCCTAAGGGCTTTATTTATGTACTTCCCTATTTCGTTTTTCTAAATTTGTTTATGAATTATTTTGTGTCTTTGTATCAATATAATTTTCAACAGAGAATGAAATAAATGAGAGTATTGAATTTAAAAATTGCCTATCCCTTCTTAAATCATAACTTCCAGGTTTAAGCTGGCAGGTGATTGTTGCCATAGCGGTGGGGGCAGCCATCTTCCTGATCCTCCTCATGTTGGTCTTGGCCTGCTGCTGCTACCTCATCACCTACGCAAGGGTGAGCGCTGCGGACGAGGAAGAGCAGAGGAGGATAAGAAAGAAAGAGAGGAGGTTGAGAAGATTGTACCGGCAATCCATCGCTCAGGTCCCTCTTGTAATGGTCCAAAAACCTCCCAAAGTCCAAAGGCCTCTACCAAGACAACGTCCAATGGTAAGTTTGCTATGATCGCCATCAGACGCTTCGGGTTGTCTTTTCTGTCTCTATCTTCTTGTGGTTTCCAGTAAGAGATAGGCCAAATCATCACTTGAAAAATTGTATGAACTTTAAGTGTGAATGAGAATATTATTTTGAAGTTTATTTTTTATTTTTTTTAAACATGCTGCAAAATCACAATAACCACTTGCGTAACACTCAATTTTTGCTATTTGCGACAAGTTTCTAGCCATGAAAACAGCCATCCTTAAAAATGAATGTACAAAATGTTCTGGTTTGACAGTATTCTAAGGTGTCATTTTATGAGAGTCAGCGCCAAGATGCACTTTAATAGAGAGAAAAACAATTACAGGAGTAAGGAGGATAAAGACAAAATACAGATATATAAATTAGCATGAAGAAGGCTTGATAATAAAAAAAGTGATCAGAAATTATTAAGGCTTGATGTGAGTGAATTCAGAATGAAAAAAGTAACTTGTCTGATAAATTTTTCACAAGACTTAAGTTCTTAGGCATCCACTTGCAACCATGTTTTTTATGTGTCTTTTGAATTTATGAGATGGATCCCAGTTTTAAATAATTCCTTAACAGTTGGCTCTATTGTATTTGAGAGATAAATGTCCTCTTTCTAATTGGTCAAACAATAACCCATCTCTTCTTTAATCTCTGATTTCTATTGCCACACAGAATGACTACGTTTATACCAATGGCACCTTTAGGCGTGAAATCGTGAATGAGCGCCGAGCCACCGGTCCTACGTTCCACCATGACGACAAGAAGAAGGAGGTTGCTCAACCTCGATCTCCACCCCTCAAGAGGACCCATCCAGTGAGTATGAATTTAAAGCCCCTCTGCACTAGTTTGGCCAGGAGGGATTAGACCTCCCTGCATGGTCACTGAAAGGCCGGTGGTTATCTCATCAAATCAGCTTTCAATTAACATAAGAAAAAGGGGACCGTGGGGGACCAATGCATGATCACCGATTAGGTATTGTTTGCTATATAGAGGGCGCAAGTCCACAGTTACTATCTTTTACCAAGTATTCTGGAATACTGTTCATTGTTGCCATCAAAAGTACAGTCAAACTTGTCGCAGTGGCCACCTCTCTATGAAGGCCACCTGTCTCAAGTGGTCACCCATATTGCTTCCCTCTAGAAGAAAATATTACTGAAAAAACCTGTCAAAAAAGACAACCTGCCTACAGTGGCCATTCTCTGTGTTTCCCTCAAGTGGCCTTAATGGACAGGTTTGACTGTAGCATTATCCTTTATATTTCTTTTGATTGAAGTGACATAGAAATTTCAAATTGATACAATCATCAGAAATACTACAATCTTTGAGGTAGTCGGTATCGTATGGGACAAGGTGGCATATGGACTTGGCGTTTAACCGTTTAAACTTATATATCTCTGTATTAATAGATGTGCAATACCGGTATGCCTTTTTTTACCGATAGATTAAGTTTCAGGGAGCGTATATGACTCTTGAAATTTGTCAAGGATCGGCAATACACATACCAGAATAATTATTACACACCTGAAATCCTGCAGTCATACCTGTACCGATAGGTTCAAGTATTTTAATGGAATCAACAGATCGGAGAAGGAGCCTCATAACCAAAAAAACATTTGGCAATCCGACGCTAAATAAAAGAGATGAAGGGCTGTAAATGTCAAAAGATAATCGATAGAGGTACATTTCAATACCTATTTGTTATAATATCGTCCTCATTTTAAAATGAACTCTTTTAATTTGATGTCTTTTCTGTAGCCTGATGAACTTGTGAAAGAAAAAAGGAAGATCAGGGAAAAAGGACCAAGATTCGGTCATGACAGTGATCCACCCGTAAGTAAACGAGAACAAAATTGCTTTATATCTTAAGTTTCTTCTCTTTAAAATTCTGTTGACTTTTGTTTTTGTTTTCAATTTTAGGTATTCCTTTTCTTCCCTCTATTCCTTTATTATTTATTTCTGTTTTTTCTCAATCCAAGCCTGTATTCTGATTTTTACTTCTTCCTTCTTTCTACCCTTTTCCTCTTCTATTTGCAGCCTTTTGATTTTGTTTCTTTGTTCTCTTAGCTCCTTTTTGAAATTTTGCTCTCTTGATAAAAGTTGCCATTTTTATACTCCAAAAATATGTGGTTCCAGTGGAGAGAATATGGAATTGTGTTTGCAGTGGTGTGAGATTGAAAGTGCATTTTTTTGTAAACCTTTTGTTGCATCTTTTCCTTTCCTACTTTTTCTTCCTTTTTCACATTTTTAGGGTCAAAGTCAATATACATTCTTTTTTTTTCAGTGATATATTTGTTTAATTAAATAGAATGAAAGAGAATTTGGCTACAGTGTGAGATTGAAATTATAATGTGCATTTGTTTGCTAGTTGATCTGCATCTAGTGATTGAAGTGCACTTTGTGTTATATTCACTTTCCTTTTCCCACCCATGCATCCTACCAGCTTTTTATCACAAACTGCCTTTTTATCACAAACCGCCTTTTTATCACAAATAGCATGAAAAAAAGATATGTATTAGCCACCAGTAGTATAGAAAACATCATAGTTGTAGCAATATATTTGCATATTTTCAAACCAATATAAATATTGGCATATATTCCATAGCTTCTTCTCTGCAGTTATTAGATGATCGGATAGATTTTCTGTATATTTCATTTTGTCCTATCCGTTATTTTATTCATGTATTCTTACCTGCCAAGAGCATTTTAAAACAATGACACCCCCATATTTAGTAAGTAGTCATAATCCGGAGTAATTCTTACGTGGATCTGATCTTGGGTCATGTAATATTTTGGATGATGTGTTTCTCAAATTTGTTTGAACTAAAGAAAAAGAAGAAAGTGAAGAAGGTGGTGAGGATTCTATCCCCCTATCCTACCTCCTCTCCCCCATCCCGAATCCAAAAGATTCGTAAAACGAAGGTGAGATAGAAAACCGACTAACTCCAAAGATTTTTAACCCAGACGTGTGCACGTGTATTGTCATGAATAACATTGTGTTGTCAGGAACCTTGTCTCGGCAATCTAGGTACCCTTAACAGGCTCCACTTCAAATTACAAGGGGTTGTTTGCTATTAATGTTGTCATTTATTTAGTTGATTTTCATTAAGATTCTAACTTGAATACTGTCATATATGTTTAGTGGTGGTTGGCATTCACTCTGTGTTTTTAACTCCATTCTCATCAGCTTCAAGCTTTCAATCATCAAATCAATATAACTGACCATACTTAAAGTAAAGTAAAGCCCTTGAATCTGGTATGACTTGAACTGCCTATTTGTTGTGTACATAGCTCGATCTACCCAATCAAAACTTAGATGTATTAACCCTTACCATTCACAGAGATATAAGGCACAGTAATCATCATTATTCTTGCTCATAACATATCTATGATGAATTTAACTTCATATTACATTTTGTTTTTGTTCCATTTATAATTGAAATACTATAATACACAATGATGAATCTTTTTGTGATAATGAGACTCATGTAGGCTTTAATCGAACTACATGTATTGTATTTATTAAACTTTGTTTCATACATCGATTGTAGGAGATTTTCTTTTGTCATGGATTCATTAATTTGTTCATTTTATCTACATTTATGTATCTTTGTGTCTATTACTTCTGGATTTTCATACATGTATTTATTTATCCATGCAGGTAACTAATCAATTTATATAAATTATTTTATATTTCCTTATCCATCTAATCAGCTGTTTTCCTGTTTGGTAAAAATTGCATGCAATGTATATAAAAGGATATGCTATATATATATACAGGGCGTATCATAATAAAGGATATTGAAGTTTAATGACGATTTATATGAAAACTACTGATTTCATAATCAAGCATTTTATGTCTGTGTAAAGGACAGAATGTCCTCTTGTTAATGACACCCCGATCATACTACTACTGTCACAGTTGACTGAATAACAAAGCATTGCTGTCCACCATGTGAAAGGTGCACTGTGACAAGTTAGCATTCACAGATAAATTCTAAACATTAGTGCTTGTGTCAGCCCAGACATATTGAAATGCTGAACAATGAGTGGATTATGTGTCTAAGAAGGAAATGTTATCAAACGTGGCACAGTGCACCTTTGACATGGTGGACAGCAATGCTTTGTTATTCAGTCAACTGTGACAGTAGTAGTATGATCGGGGTGTCATTAACAAGAGGACATTCTGTCCTTTACAACAGACATAAAATGCTTGATTATGAAATCAGTAGTTTTCATATAAATCGTCATTAAACTTCAATATCCTTTATTATGATACGCCCTGTATATATGCAGAAAATGATATGCAGTTCAATAAATTTGTCAGAAAAGTGTTTAAAAGTGCTTCATTCATCATTCACATTAATTCAAATCATTCCCAATAATGTCACTTTCATCATTAATTAATCCATTTTTGAGAAAAAAATCATTTGAATTCATAAGAAGTCATTAAATTCATAGAAAGATGTAGTGTTTTCCCCTAAAACGATTATATCATGTGGGTACTTCAAACCGATTGTAGCACAGTGAGGGCTGATCTGTGAGTTTTGGCAGTGGAGGAAAATGACATCTCACCAAATGAAATTAAACTTACATTCAATTTCAAGTTTACAAATAAATAAAGAAATGATGTGTTCCCCAAAATTTGCGGTTTAAAATGTACAACACCTAAAAACCTTAAAAAAAAAAATTAATTTGTGAAGACTATTATTTGAATTTGAATATATCAAAATGTCCCTTTATTCCATGTTATGTGGGGCATAGGTCAATAGCTCTCTCACCTGGTTAAATTTAAAAAAACAGAGAAGAGGGGATAATATATTATAACATTTAAGATTATCAACCTATTTCTTCAATATTTTTCCCGCGTCTGTTAATCTTTTTAGCCGGAGCCAGAAAAGAAAAAGAAGCGACCAAAGGGACCTCATTTCCATGCTGAAAAGGAACCTGAACCGGTAAGCAATTTTTTAATCATGAAGGTTCTAAATTAATTTAACTTTTTGATGATGACTCTGGAGCATCAAGATAGATATAAGTTATGAAAACATAAACCAAATGGAAAGGAACATCTCCAAAAGAGGACTTTGTACCAGATTTGTTCACATTTCTTCTCAAAGAGTGTTTTCTATACACACTGATGGATAAATGAAGACATTGCACTATAAAGTTCCTTCTTTTTGCCTCAACTTTCTGACATGTTTGTTCTAGCAGTTATATGCAGTTGGAAATATATTTATGCACTGTCCAACTGCTTCTATTGTATGAGTAAAAGTTTTGAAAATAGAATCATTTTTTTTCCAACTACTATGCAAGAAGGATTGTATAACTACGCCTATTGGAATATGGTAGACTTTTAAGAGAGTTAGTTGTCTATAAAAGGTACCGTACATTTGCATGTATTTCAGGACACAATACATTTTACAGTTACATAAGTAGAAAAGGATATTAATCATTTGATAATCTTAAATGTTGTCATAATGACTTTTCCTCTTCTCTGTTTTTTTTTTCTTTTCACCAGGTGAGAGATCTGAAACAAAGATTATTCCATGAGTTCAGCTATTGATCTACGTCCCAGATGCTTGGACTTCCACCAACTTCTTCATTGAGCTGATCTTCCGGAATCCTTTCTGTGTCTTTCCATGTGGCGCATTGCTGTATTTATCACAAATACCCATGAAAATTCATCTATTCAAAGCCAGAATGGTGTTAATTCTGTGTTAGAGTATTTGAGTTAATGTCCTTCTAGTTCCAGATGACCTCTCCTTTCCTTCCCTCTTTTACTAGGTATTAAAAGTAAGAAATATATATTGGATTACTAATAATTATTTGTTGTAAATTTAACCACCTCTATCATGTATTGTATTGCTGTAATATTATGTAACAAAGACAAAAAGGAAATCAATGTTTTGATATTGAAATGTTTTACACAGTTTAACTCAAGACCATGATATCTGTGTGTATCAGAAATTGATTCTGAACACAATATTATGATTGAGCATCACATCTGTCATTTCCTGTAAATTATTCTGATAAAAAGCAGTATGAATTGTTTAATGATCTTGAAAAGCAAAATGGCATTATAGAGAGCTAGATGTAGGTGTATACAAAAAAATTGTTACAAATATGTTACATTCTTGATTCCTTACAAAGTGAAATTCAGTTATCATGTATATAAGTTTATCTATGATATTTTTCGTCCAAGAGTAGGTTGAAAGTCTGAATGCAAGATTGTATGGATGACAACATACATGGAAATGTAGGTATATGGAAATCTTTTGCATTGTTCATATTGCAGTATTACAAAAAGGAACATTAATCTTGTATTTTAATCAGAACTAAATTCATAGCTTTCAAAGAATACATGTACCTTTACTTCTATTTATAAAAAAAAAATTGGTGTTATTTAGTACTGGTACTTAAAAATAAGAATTCCATGGTAATTTGAGTGTTAACAATAAATTTATCAGTCAAAATATATACATGTATTTGTTTTTGTGTTGATTCAACAAATGTATTTCTGTTCATGTTTAGACTCTTGTTTCATATTGTATTGATATACCTTAATAAAACATTTATACATGTATCCCCGTTTTGAAATTGTTATTGTGAACATTGTAAATGGTGATACCAATTTTATGGTAAGATGTAGTATATTTCATTTTTCTCCTCTTGCTCTATTTTGCTTTTTCTCTTTCTTTGTCTTTCATTCCAGGGCTTGGTTTCAAGTCAATTCCAAATTTAACCATTTTTTTGTAAAATTAAAAAAATATAACATATATATTTTTTTTTATAAGAACAGGTTCACAAATAGTACAAATTTAATCACTGACCAAGCAAAAAATACAGTTACAAATGATGTTCTTTGCATTTACAATTTTTATTATGATTCTGAACACCCTCCTTCCCCAAAATAAAATTGTACACAGCACCATGAAAAAAAGAGAACCTCCACCAAGAAAATAGTAATATTAAAAAATGACATACCAAATGTCATATTTCAGAATACATTATACATGTAATTGAATAATAATATAATATTTAGGATGTAGCGAAAATAATTTCAAAGAAATTTACTGAGGAGACTTAATTTTACTGGCATTGGGTTGAGTGACATGAATCCCGATATGAAATGAATGATGGATCAATTTTGTTCATTCAGTAAAATAATCATGGTAACATTTATTGGATGGAAAACTTGGCCCTCAATATACCATAATGGACTATATAATCTATATTTCATAAAACTTGTTATCAAAACAAGTGTCACATTTCTATTACAAATTTACTCACGGCTAATCAATTGCAACAATTTCAGTAACTTGTTATTGATAAAAAGTTTATAAAACGGGGCCGTGGACAAAGTTAGTATGTTTACATGAATACCAGCATTCATATTTACGAGGGACAATCCATCATGGCTTCTTCATTTCGTTGAATTTTTGTATAATCCAGTACTGATACAGGTCAAAGAGTTCAAAATTCCATTGTTAACAGCAGAATAACACCATACAAAAGTATGTCGGAGTGAGAGAAAAACAAATTAGTGAGATGGAGAAGACATAAAGTTAGATGAATCACTATAGTTTCGTCCAAGATGAAAATTACTCAAAAATTGAAAAAAAAAAAATTTCCTTAGTGAAATTGGTGAAAAGATATTTTTCATTATTTTTTGGGACACAGAAAAAGGGAAACAGTCCATGTATTACTTCACACATTGTTACAGAGTTGCCAATTGTTCACTTTTTTGTCTTTGTTTGATTTATCTCAAGTTTCACTAATCTCTTTTGTTTCTGATTTATTGATTGAACTCTGATCAATTTTACTGGCCTGCAGATTGTTTAATTCCTGCACATTCAAGAAAAATATTTTCACACATAACTTTCACAATGCAGAATTATCATACATATCACATTAATACTTTAGAGGCCATTTCAGATATCAAGATAATATTCATGACCATGGGCATGAATGATATACATAATACATGTACATATATTTACTCAGTTTCCACTTTTCATTACTGGAATCTTTCTCAAACTTGCTGTGAGATCATAAAACTAGTCTCAGTCCTAACTGAATAGCTTCAAAGCTTGTATGATTGGCAAATACATTAATTTGTTCAAATAATCTTGGAAAAATGTTCAAAGTCAATTGCAGAGAAACTATTCCAGTAGTTCCTGTGAGGTACATTATTTGTCTCGTAGGAAAGTAAAAAGCTACATGTGTAGTAGTAAACCACAATGGCATTGTACTAAAAAACGATACTTGTACAGATTAATGAAAGTCTCCTTATACTTTAAACTATTCTGCACTGATGACTTTATGATGCTGTGAATACTCCAATATCACAGTAAAATACATATGGAATATGACATTATTTAACGTTGCAGCAAAAAGAAAAACATAATATTTTGCAAATCAAAAATAAAACCCGCTCCTCTGTTCTCTATACAATATATACATAATTTTAGAAATATGCAGAATCCGAAATATATATATATATTCATACATTTTTCTTCCAAGGCAAGAACTTATCTTTATATTTTTGCTTTTAAAAAGTAAAATAAGTGCAAACAACATTGCAGGCACAAAGAATGGTTTAGCAAATTTATACACAATTTTTGTTTATATAGTGGCATAAAAATAATTAAAATGAAAACTAATGATGTTAGACACGACGAATTGCTAACGACTCTTTTATAATAACAAAAGAGAAAATGATGCTACATTGCTGGAAACTTAAAAATTTAAGCTTTTGGCTTTAGTTTTTCCATGTTACAATATAGCTTTCATTTATTTTCACTCATTTACATTGACATGAAGAGGGGAGTAAATTTATCAATTTAATTTTCTATACACATATTACACACAAAAAAACAAAACAGTTATAAGTGCAACAAACAATGTGAAAATGATATGAATATAATACTTAAAGTGTAAGGCTCTGTAATACATAGGGTACTTGACAAACGGGTAAACATTCTTGATGCATAGCACAACTTTGTGGCAAAAAAGCAACCTAAAATTACTTGTTTCAACATGAAGCTTTGCAAATACTGAAAGTTATGCCGTGCAACAATATGATCAAATTTCTCAAAGATTACATAACTATCACACACTGCAAGGCTATGCAAGGTTATATTTTCTATCTTACAATTACAATAAAAATGGTACTTTTGATTCTTATATTTAGTACTACTCTTGGATTATCATCATCATCATGAATCCTTTTGAAGTACTGGAGCCAAATTGTGAGAACATTGGATATCAGACACCTAATCAATATGATTAAAAATAAGTGTTTGGACTCTGACCCAAATTTGCTTTAAATCAACCATGTTGATATTATGCAATACAATAAAAGACTTTACTTTGACATACACAGACATGCTCAAAATCAAAGACGCATATGAGCAATAAAATAAGATAAAAATGGAAATGCTCCACTTAAACAGGAAGACATGCAACAACAATCAATGGTGATAAAAATCAGAGGTTTTAAGTGCAACAAAGGAAACAAAAATGCGTAAGGAGCAGATCATAAATAATGCATCCATTGCTCCTGCTTGTATAAAATGCAAGCCCCCCCCCCAAAAAAAAAACTTCAAGAAAAATACTAAAATACATTTGATCATGCCTACAAACCCTTTTAATAGTATGCAATTTGATGAAAGAAAAATTGGGTTTCACTTTAAGGGTAGTAAAAAGGAAATCTTTGGGATATTCCCCCCCCCCCCGGTAGTAAAACTTGCCTGTTCTGTAGACAGTAAACCCTACCAAAGGGTGCAACTATTGCAATATTTTAGTAATATAAATAGCAACATGGTATATTAAATAAGTTTGTTCTCATAGAAATTATTGTTGTGCCAGATTTTGAAATGTAAGGGATTTAAAACTTGAGGTGTTCACGAAATTTCATTCCGACTAATTGTTCGTAAACTTGGTAGTATAAAACAAAATGGTCTGGGTGAGCCCTGAGGGGCAAATGAATCCTGCTAATTGCTCATTCCACCTGTCTATCCCAAAACTGATATAGAACCAGTCACATATTTTCAAACATTCTCATGCTAAGTCTGTATACATGCATTAAGTACATTATTTAAAGGTGTAATTCCATTGTAATGAAGCAATAGCAAAGGAAGCAGGTGCATTCGTCATGAGGACAGACTTGCTACATTTGTTACAGCATATGGAAATTGAACTCTATTCTGTTAAGCTCCTACATTTAGCCTGCATGCATTCAAGCAGTTTATCAATTACCTAAGCAATACATTGTATTGAATAGTCCCTGTCTAGGAATCATATCAAAATATGAAAATAAAAGACATAGATAAACTTCATCATGTATTTTCTTCACAGAAAAATTACTAAAAACCTAGAAAAATCATTGTAGAACCGATAACAAGTCTAGGTCTTGCAACATTTGGTCATTAGTCATGGTGCCTTTGGTCCTCTGGTCAAGGGTTACGAGACCTATTCAAATCCTGATGGCTACATGTTGAGTCCTGAGAACCAAGGACTGGACCAAACATTTATTCCTGGTCCTGATAAAAGGGTCTTGGTTGTAATGCAGGTTGTTCAGTAGTCCTATGTGAGCCCTAAACCAGCAGGACAGTCTGTGCTAAAATCCTGATGTGGGTATGTTGTACCCTGTCAGGAAATGTGAATCCATTCGTTCTTTGAAAATGCATGCTACCTGTAGTTCCGGGTCCTCATCCATAGCAGAGACTAATCGAATAGACTCATGGTTTCGATGTAAGTCCAGACCAAGTTACAATATTCAACAAGATCAGGATCCTCACAACATCAGGGGGGAGTTTCACAAAACTTGTCATCAGTGACAATTGACAGTTTTTGTTATAAGCTACTGAAATCCTTGCTTCTGATTGGTTATCAGCAGATTTTTCACTGATGTTTGTCATTTGTCATTGGAAAAAGGCTTTGTGAAACGGGCCCCAGATTGTGCTTCACCTTCCTTCAAGTTCTATGACCTTTCAAACCTTTCCAAGGAACTATCTGAAAAGAACATGCTAACTCTACTCTGTATACTTGATCAAGACTACTCAAGCAGACCTATTGTCTTCCGTCGATGCAAGGCTTCATCAAGTTCTACGACACATTAGATGCTAAGCTCCTACAAAAGTCCATATCATTAGGATCCTTTCAACATCAGTTAGGGTTCTTCATTCCTTCAAGGTAAAAGAGTCTTCGACTCCTACTGACTATAAAGCGAAGAAACGGTTCCACTGGGTCATACCACCGCAGCTCCACATCCAGCCCGAGCCACATTCATGTTGCTTGCTCGCGACCAGGAATCAAGATGGGGATCGTACACCTCGACGCTACGCAGCCGGTTGGTCCCATCGTACCCGCCCATGACATATATATTGTTGTCGTAGATGGCAACAGCTGGCCAGGCTCGAGGGGTTATCATTGACCGGATGGAAGACCACTGCTGAGTTTGGGTGTTGTATCTGAGAGACATTGGAAATTAGAAGAAAGGGTTTAGAGCGACAATGAAAACACAGAAGAACAAAAGCTTCAATGGTTTATGGACAAGTTACTGCTACTTACAGAGTATTCAGTAGCAAACTAGAAAATAACTTGTTGCACATTGTGCGCACTTTCTACAAAAAACATTTCTTAGGACAGTGAAGAGCAATATTTGTTGTACTTCTGTAGGACACTTATTTCAACATTGGCCTTTTAGAATCTACAGCTTTCTTATAATTTCTTAGGTGTGTTTCATTCCAAACCAACACATTTCTACATGGAATTCAATGAAGTCTACCTGTAATTGAGCACATACAGAAAATTGACTCTTAACTGCACATCGTTTTGTGTTCAAAATTTGATTTCAGATTGAAATTCATTCTTTTTGCTGATGACACCAATATCCTCTACACCTCAAATGACATTGGATCTTTATATAGCACGTTAAATATTGAATTGCGGAAAGTATCGAATTGGTTTAAATGCAATAAATTAATCTTGAATGCTGGAAAGTCAAACTTTATATATTTTCATTCCAAATATAAACCGGTTTCTACAGAGCTCCTCAATTCATATCAAATAAAAATGGATGATAATTTCCTTAATCGTGTTGCTAATACCAAGTTCTTGGGTATTTTTATTGACGAAAGCTTATCCTGGAAAACACATATATCCCATATTAATAAGATAATGTCCAGGAATACTGGTGTCATCAGCAAACTCCGCCATACTTTGCCTCAATCTGTTCTTCTTATGTTATACAATACACTTATATTACCGTTTCTTAGTTATTGCAACATTGTTTGGGCAAACACATACCCAACCAAACTGCATTGTTTATATATTCTACAAAAGAGGGTTGTAAGAAATATAACGCTATCTCATTATCAATCTCATTCAAGACCACTTTTTAAACAACTTAATATATTGAATGTATACCAGTTAAATGAATATTTGTGTGCTATACTTATATTTAAGAAGGAAAAAAGTCTGCTTCCTGAAAAGTTATCCGATATGTTTATAACAAACAGTACAATACATAACCATAATACTAGAAATAAAAAGAAATATCACCGATGGTGTGTTAATACAAATTTTGCATCATATTCTTGCAGACATCATGCACCTGAAATTTGGAACTTGCTTCCAACTAATATAACTTCAATCTCATTTTACAACAGTTTTAAACGTAATCTCAAAAGTTTCTTGATTGCGCATGACTCTCATTGAATGTATTTATCTAGCTTGTTACCCCTCTCTCTTTCACTCTCTCTCTCTCTCTTTCTTTCTTCCCCTTTGCTATCTTCTCACTTTTTCATCCTACCATGTTGTATATCATGTACTGGGTTTGTGCCGGTTGTTATGCAATTTCTGAATGATATTATCCGAAACTTTACTTGCTACTTGTTTTCTTACTATGTTTATTATATCTAATTTGATAGGAAGCTGTCCAGACAAAACCTTTTCTTGGTTTTTTTACAGCTGTGCCTTATTCTGTTTTGTATTAATTCATTTCACATGTATATACTATCCCAATTTATGTATTATATTGTACATGAAATTGTATGTTTTTACTATGTAAAAATGTTTTTAAAGATGGAATTCAATAAACTGAACTGAACTGAACTGAACGTTGAACCCCCAACAGTTTACTTTACAACCTCTCACCTTTCAGCTATATTGAAGAATTGGTCGGTATGTCGTAACCGACCTCCGACCGCGTAGATATAATGATCCATAGCAACCAGTGCTAACCCTGACCTAGCTTTCTCCATCTCGGCTACAAAGTGCCATTCCTGTGTCTCTGGATCGTAGCACTCTACGCTTGCCCTCTCTGTTCGGTAGCTCTTGTCATAACCACCTGATAATTTATTAAAAAGGAAAAGTAAAGGGATTTAAATAGGCAAGATAATAAACAAATATACCATGTACTGAGAGGCTCTAGTTGAAATTATGGATTGGGGTGGGAGGAATAGCACTATTTCTGTCGCTATAGTGCAGTGCACTATACCATGGATGACGTCACGGTATAGCACATTTTTCTTATCAGCAACATCATAGCAATGTTATGTTTGGTCACATGATGCTATGTTGACCAATCACTGAACAGGATTTCATTGATCAAAAAATATAATACATATAGATCTATCCTCTAGAATTTAATGGAAGCTAGACGATAGGCAGAATATATCTCTTTCCTTGCCACATCAAAATCTTGTCTGGAATATGTGAGGGTTCCAGTCTCCGAACATGTTGTCATGGTAACCAAGAGCATTACCAGCGAGTCCATGCAAATTCAAACACAAGGCAAAATCCACACAAATCCATCCAATTCTATTCCGGTAGAATTGAATTGATAGTGGGAAATTGGTAATGGATGTTTATTTATTTTTTTTACATCAAAATCTTATCTGGGCTATGTACGAGATACTGTCTGTGAACATATGTTGTCGTGAAAACCAAGAACATTACTATTTTACGGAGTCCTTACAAATCCAAACGCGAAGCCAAATACATACAAATCCAATTCTATTTCAGTAGAATCAAATAGAGAACAGGTACCTAATTGGCAATTTTTCTTTCCTTTCTACATCAAAAGCGAATCTGGACTACGTAAGAGTTTCCGTCTCAGAACACATTGCCATGGTTACCAAGAACTTCACATCATATCAATCCCCACAAATGCAAGGACCTTTGAACAAAGTAATACAAGCCACACAGATAGTTGAGCTCTGGTTTAAAAAATAAAGAGAAACTGAAATAACTAAAGCCGGCTTCAAATTTCAATCTATTTTCCAATCATATTCAATGCATAATTAATGACTTTTGCGAAACTACAATGAAAATGGATCTGAGTAGTTTGGCTGATAATCAGGGGTGATAGTGAGCACTAAAAAAAAAAAAAGTTTTTTTGTTTTCCCCTCAACCACGCCGCCTTTGAGTAAAAAAAAAAGAAGAAGAGGATGCGGGGGGAAAGAATGGCATCTAACAACATTCCCCCCTTTCGAGTAAGAAAATTGGGAAAAAAATAGGGGAGAAAAGAGAAAATAAGGGGGAAACCGGGAAAACCAGGATAAAATAGGGAAGAAGAAGAAAAAAAATATTTTAAAAAAAAAATCAGGATTTTTTTTTTTTTTTTTTTTTTTTAATATCGGGAAGAAAAAAAATCTGGAAAAAATTGGGAAACCGATTTAAATCTGTTTTTAACGGGCCTGGATAATGCCTGTAGATTCACAGATTATGAGTCGAAAATGCAGCCAACAGAGAAAACTGCCATTATTATTCATGCCAGCATGGAAACAGCTGACAGCAATAATTATTATAGTAAGAACAGGTCGGGTATACAGCACCTACTCTATACAATGGTATTTATCATCTATCCATCTGCCCATAATATCAGAATTATGCATGATGTGCGGCACTTGATCTGATCAACTGATTCAGATTGATTCGATCTGCTCCCAAAATGTCTACCTATCCTGCCTGCTCACTGCCCATACCTTTTACGTAGGCAGACTTGTCTTTGATATACAGGGTGACCCAAATAAAACGGACTAGCTTACTTCCAATAATGCAGGGCAAATATCTTCAGTACCAGTGGATGGGGCATCTTTTAAGAAGAAAAATGATTCAAAATTTGCCAAAATTGGTTGAGCCTTTATTTTTCTAGACACATTTTTGCAAAACCATGTTGAAGACATCCACTGACAGTGCTGCTTGCAGAAAATAACGTACCATTGTGTAGTTTCAGAAAAATGATTATACCAAGATTTTGGGCAAGCTGTGATAAATATTAGATTGAACACAAACTTTTTTTTTAAACACAATTTTCAGGCATTTTCAATGACTTGTTAACCACAGACATGAAATTATCTGCATTGTTTGAAATGCAGTTTCATTGATACTGGACAAATTTAAACTCATACCTTGCATCACAAAATGCTCCCTGAAACAGAGAGCTCTTGGCCAAATTGTCAATCTTGGTATCATTTTGCATGTGGAAAAGATTCTTGTTCAGCTAGTACCAGTGAATTTGAACCAACACTATTGGAAGTACGATAGTCCAAGTTTCTATTGGGCCACCCTGTATACCCTACCCGAAAGCCATACAGAAAGTCAACGGTTGACTGAATATTATATAACATAAATGATGGTACCTGCAACATAAAGTTTTCCATCGCAGACTGCTACGCCACACCCACTTCTCCTCTGCTTCATAGAGGGTGCAAACGTCCAGAGATCGTTGCTAGGGTCGTAAACCTCAACTGCATTATGACTGCTGTTATTATCTTCACCTCCTACAAAGAAAGAAAGGAAAACATATTAAAATGATAAATACTTTATGAAGGTGTCCGCCCCCCCCCCTGCAAGAACAAAAAAAAAAGAATGAAAACACACAAAAGAGAATGCTTTTGATTGATTATAACTCTACAAGTCAAATTGCCATGCACCTGCCCAATCATTTGCATTATGGGATGAACAATTGAACATTACACCAAATTTGACAGCAATTCCCCCGATGCCTCATAATGGTTAATGTTTAAGCCCAAGACAACTGAAATAATGTGCGAGTTCCATATCCAGGCCTTACCTAGTCAATGAGTGATGCTTTTAGAAAGAGGAGATAAATTTTGCAATGGTGCGACCTTTTTAGCATGGTGCGACCTTTCAAGCAGGCCTCGTATTATGTGAGGGTTTGTAATATGCAAGTACTGTAAAAGTAGAAATATTCGCGGCCTATTAATTTTTCACGGAATTTGAAAATAGATCGCAAGAATACTGCGTTTACAGTAGTGCAGTCTAATGGCTGTGCAACAACCTCAATAATGAAACTTTTGTAGCTTCCAGGTTTTCACTGATTTTTAAAGTTTGTTTGTTTGTTGTTTTGTTTTTTAGCAGATGTTTCTGCATTTATTGATAAATTAAATACAAAACATTCAAATAACAATAATAGTATATAATATAATTGATTTACATAAAAGTGACAGCTGAAATACACACACATAAAAATGCATATATTTATATATTTGAAAACTTGAAAGTATGGAGGTAAGTCAAAGAATCAAGATAAATGCAGAGGCCAACTATCATAATCATGAATGCTCGAGTCGATAGCAGCCGTTGATGCTGACTACTTCTAAATAAAATGGAAAAATAAACACAGTATCTGAATCCCCTTGATGAAACATGACCAATGGCTCACCTAGTGCATACAGAAGACCTCCCAGGCCGGCCACTGATACAAAGGACCTGGGTACTCCTAGACAGGCTCCAGGGTTCCAACGTTTCAGCAGAGGATTGTAACATTCAACTTGACCTAGGTACATGGTGTCATCGTCATGGGAACCGTTAAAGGCACATTCTCCGCCGATGGTGTAGAGGTGGCCGTCTAGGGTGGCCACGCCTACTGCCGTTCTGGAGATCTCCATGCTCTCCTATAGTGATGAGATGAGGGCAGAGGAGACGAAAAGTAAAATTAAAAGACATGTTGACAGGCCCTATTAATAAATAATAATAAATAAATAAAAACTGTGCTTTAATATAAAGCGCTTACCACCGTAGTCTCTAAGCGCTAATTACAATACCTTCAGTTTTATTCCCTTTATAAGTTATCACACAATAATACATGTACGTGTATCTAAATGAGATTAGAACAATTCAAACAATTCACTGCATAGACATGAACTTAGTAGCAGTTTTGAAATAACCTGCCCTCATACACATTCAGCCTGAATTTGAAATTTGAGTGTCCCAATTGGAAAAGAGGATAAAATAGAATGTTCAAGAGAAAAGGGAATCAATTATGTTTATAGGGCATCTTTTGAAAGACATGGGATTCTCAAGCACTCTCTTAGCTGTAAGACGGCCCTTACCTGTGGTATCCATCTATTATGGACGGCATCGTATCGCTCACAGCTACTCAGCTGACAGTCCAGGTCATTCCTCCCACCAACAACATAGATACTCTGAGGCTGCGACCTGCTTCCAATCAACGCCAACGCCTGGTTGTCGTTCCTAATCCTCAAGGCATTGGCCACCTGATCCTGGCACTTAGAACAGCGATTTATCAGTTCCGATCTGTAGACATTCTCCAGGAGGTAGTCCTTCCCGAGAAGCGCAAACCGAACATTCTCCAGGACACTGCAGCAGCAATGGCTGCGGTTTCGGAGGTCATAGTTCAGCCACGAAATGGCCGCCTCGTAGACTTCCTCCTCCCCGTCAACCTGGAGCTGGTCGCTTTTCAGGAGGTCGACGACATCCTGCTCAGGCATGAGGAAGAACTCTTCAGTCCCGACGACCTCCTGGAAGTGCTGGTAGATGAAGCGACGCGAGGCGTTCTCAAGGTCTCGACAAGAGTACATGTCAGCAAAAGAGTGGATTCCTACGGTAGCAAAACAGATAATGATCATGAACATAAATATCCATCTGCACTATTACTTCTTTTTACTTCAATACACGCTTTTTAATGGATATGTAATTGACCTTATCAAGCTCTTGAACAATTATGTACAATATCATTCAAGCACAGTTGAAATGGAATAATACATTTTCTGGGGTGGTGTTTTTTTCTCAATATTTCCTCTCCTTTCTCTACACTGAATCATTTTTCTATCGCATGTTTGGATTTCTCTCTCATGTGAAATAAATTACTCAGTTACACTGAAACTTTTCTTTGCATCTTTCAAAGAGATATATGTAGGCACCCAAAATGACATTTTCACAAAGAACAATAATGACATCTTATCTGCAGTACAGTATATATCTCCTTTTGAAAGTTGTCATGCTTGGGCAATAATAACAAAAATAAACAGGCTTCGTACCTGGTTTTTAAATGGATGTATTACCAAAAGAAAAAAAGGAAAAAAAAGTATGAAATACCATCAAAATCAAAATATTTGTAGTACCTTGTATTTGCTATCAACAAACTGTTCATTGAGGCAAAAAGTATACAAATTCATGTTTATTGTTCATGTTGTTCTGCACCTAACCTTGGAATTCAAGTTATAATGGGCATTCACAAACAATAGCCACGTCAGCTTTCCATAGATAATTGTTGCTGGTCATGTCAGCAGAAGAGACCCAAATATAGTGCCCCAATGCATACAATTAATACAATTCCATCAAAAGCCCTAAAGTATTTGTGAAAAGAGATAAATGTACAGATAAATTATGCATTTTTTTTATTGTCTTCTCCATTTACATGTATCATCGAACACATAACTATCAGCAGAAAGAATAACTTGGACCATAATATCCAAAGCTATATGACAAAGGGCTTTGCTTAGTATTCTGAGTGTATAGTTTAATCACTCACTGGCGTGATACCCATTTGTCACATACAAGTGCCCCAGTACATACACCATTCCTATGGGGATACATTGCAACGGTACATTGTACATTGTAGACCTAAGGTTTCTCTCTCGTCTGACAATGTCGTGTATCATCACCATCACTCAACCTTTCAAGTGACCGCACACACCGAGCTCAAGAGTGAACGAACTCTACAGCATGCTGGATTGCTGGTTACGTTATGATAACAGGATGAAATCATTTAAATACATATATCCACATTCATTAATCAGCATGTTGACATTACTTTTGTTGGGGAGCTCAGGCTCAGAGTACAACCTGCAAGTCATGCAGGCCATGTCAGTGTACGATTCTACAACACATGCTCCATTGACGATTGTGGCACAGTTTATTTCCTACACTTATTAAAAGTCCTACCTTTAACTTTAGACTAAACCTTTCCCAATCCTTAACCCTATATTCCTAAACGTAACCTAACACCCAATTGCAACATTAATCCTAATGCCATTAGCAAATGTTGCTGAAGCAAGTGTCACCACAGCAAATGTCTGATCACCTATTAACGACCATATTGAAGCTTTATTCACACAGTTTCATGCAGTAAATCTCCTAAAACTGTAACAGCAAAATATGAACCATTCTATGAGTAAATGAAAGGCAAGCGAGATAAAAAAAAAAAAAATTTAGCTGCCTACAATAGAGACTCTTTATGCATTAGCACTTTTACGTGTGTCTATCAAAAGATATCATATTATGTGCTCATGTGCTTATGTTATTCAATTTTGGCATGGCAGTTTCTGGAAGCAGTTTATTGCATCATGCATGATAGAGTAGAACAAGTATGAAAATTCAAAAGGTTGACCTACCAAGGCAGTTAGTGGCATCTAGCTGGGACTGTAGGAAAGTACTACAAACATTACGTAGACTACCCATGTTCAGCATACTGGCACCGGCGAGCACAATCTGTACATTCTCCACGTCGATTTCGATCGTACCCGTGTAGATGAAGTTCAAGATGATTTCCATGGCAACGGGGTCGATGCCCCGTATCTCCACGTGACTTTTCGCCGATTCCAGCATGCCGTTGGTGAACATGGCACGGAGGTATGGAGAGCAGCCCGCAAGAACAATGCGATGAGCGTGGAATTCCTGGTCTTCCACGCAGAGGACTATATCGCAAAGTTCATGTCTACGCCGCAAGTCGTTCATAACCTGCATACAAGATTACAAGGGGTGAACAAGAGGAAAATGATGAGACTTACATTTTACAAAACAGGTTTTACTATTCTCATTCTAAAAAAAACCTAACATATATGACAACCCTGTTTCTCTCAGATGTTGGTTTGTGCTTTGTGCATAGCATGAATGCAGATCATCATTTGTCAACTTACAAGCCATTCTACATAAAAAACATCATATCAACGCAACAACAGGAATAGTAGACACAAACTTTTTCAATTTTTTAGGTATAGAAAATGAGACAGTTTCACTCTAAACATGAGATTCACCATGTATTTTTAAGCACATACATGTACACATACATTTTGAGGGTTGGAGGAATCGTTTTAAAGCAATCAAAGACTTTGAAACTATCATTGTTTCTTCTTTAAATACAGAGAAATTAAGGTATCTTGTGTCTGCGTACATTTTTTGAATAAAGAATTATAATGAGTTTCTTAGCACTTCAGTAAGAGTGATTTTTCTGTTGATTTTCACTTGATAGCAAGGGTCTTTGACTTACTTGGAAGGCACTGTTGATGTGCACCGTGATGGTATACGTCCTGGAGTGAATCATGCTGGCTGGCTGCTAGACTTCAACATACAGTCTCTTACTCAAAATCTATCCTTTGCATCCAGTCAGCAGCTGCTTTGTCTCCAAGCTCCTAGACGGTACAGGCACTTAGTCAAGCTCTCCCCACATCAGGGTGGGGTGCTTCGTGGAATAGAGGTAGGGGCAGGGAGGGGGCCTAAGGTGTGATTGGTACTGCCATGAGATGTCCAAGTAGTGTGTCAAATTGGATGAACAGTTGCGATGTATTTTATCTTCAACTACAGAATCCTGCAAATGTGGATAAAGCAAAATAAAATAAAAAATCATAAAGAGCACTGTTCTTTGAAAATTCTGCCGGAAGTACTGGAATAAAAGAGCATAATTTGTATGTATACTTGAAGAGCTATAAGTGTTTATGGATCTAATCTACATATTGAAGAACTGAAAAGACACATTTGTAAAAGTAATTTCACAGACCAGTAGATCATCACAATCTGTCTACAACAAACCCTAGGGATTCAAAAGTGCAGACAACCATTGAAAAGAGAGAAACAAATACATGTTGTAGATGAGGTCAGAGAATGATTCGCTCTCCTAAACTCTTGAAAAGGCCAACACAAATGAAAAACAGAGACACACGAAAAAGATTGGAGTCAACTATATCACAGCAGTCTGACTTGAAAGTAACCATAACAAATAGAATATGATCTTTTTAATGAGTTTAATACTTGCAGTATTTGTGAAAATTGTTCAGCTTTAAATTCTCAAATGAAATCCACTTATTTCCAAGAAATGAAGATCCAAACATTAATAATTTTAATGTACCCTGTACATTGTAAATACTCAGAGCACAGATGTACATTCATTAGACTGCATGAAAGAATACTTTGAGCTTTGAGTGAATATACTGTATGCACAACAGAAATGTATAAATAATCCAAAATATCTTAATGTGATACCGAATACTGACGTCAATTGCTATCAAATGCTCTGACAATGGGGCAATCAATACATGACACACAATCTGTGAACAACGTGTTCCTTCCCTTATCCAGGCTGCGTCAACATGGGGAGTTTTTAATCACGATTTAAGAGTTAATCACGTTCCGATATCCCTGTGGTGTGGGAGTCTAGCGCTCCGATTCTTAGCAGTCCAAGATATCTCGCTCTGTACTAAGTACTACATGTAGGTAGTAACAGATGCTGATCAATTAGTTTTTGACATTTCAATTTATATAAGATTATCTGGGGGAGGCTTGAGACTTTGCCTCTCCATTTTTTCCTGCTGTCTCCCCTCAATGCATTTCTATAATTTACTTTGCAAGCTCAGAAGTGTAGCGTATGAGATTTCACATCATACGTAAAGAGACAAGGAGTGGACCCTGTATAGCGAATCATGATTAAAATTCTTTTGTATGGGCAAAGTCTATACACATGTCTACTAAACTTTGATCCATTATAAATTTATGGTAAACAGGTGGCATAGACTACATGATTACAATGTGAATGTAAACTACAAACACCAGTGGTCCATTTCACAATATTGTCTACATATAAGTTCATGGATATCCCCTTCCAAAGTTCATATCAAAGTAATACACATTACAATGGGATATCCTCAAACTTAGATTTCAATGTAAGATTAAATTGTTGGATACACCCTAAATAGTCTTAAATGCATAGTACACTTTGATTTGAAATGAACAAGGAGGGACTGTGCATTCATTACCCCCAAGTAATTTACAAAGGCTTGGAGTTTGACTGTTGTGGTAATATATCGACACCTCTAAAGGTGTCTTGATGTATGCAATGAGGCAACAACTGATGTAGGGATACCTGAATATACGAAACACGATTGCTTACATGAACACAGATGATGAATGACTTCTGGCATTTTCACACACACCACAGGAAACCGCAGCGGTTTACTGTGGCGTTGTTTGCGAGAAATTGTAATTTTCAAAATTGTATTTTGTATGTTACAGTCCCATACAGCGGTTTACTGTGACATCATTGACAAGTTTTTTGGGTTAGTTTTAAGGAGTGAATGATTAGCATGCGGGGACGAATTGCAGTTGTTGTACATGAGAAAGGTCCAACACGTTCTCGTTATCTGTGTCTTATAAAATACAGAAATGCAAAGGGTACTACGCTTTAATACGCTGTTATAAAAACACTGCAGTTTACCATGTCGTATGTGAACACACCTTTATTCATCCATCCATCTGAGCATTCAGAATGGTGGCAGCGGTGGGATTTGAACCCATGTCTTTGAATCATTATATTTAAGTGAGCCAAGTAATTGTGAAGTGTACATTATTAAGCTTAGTTTAATACACTTTAATAACAAACACTGCAGTTTACCATGTCGTATGTGAACACACTTTTATTCATCCATCCATCTGATCATTCAGAATGGTGGCAACGGTGGGATTTGAACCCATGTCATTGAATCATTATATATTGAAGTGAGCCAAGTAAATGTGAAGTGTATTAAACTTAGTTTAATACACTTTTATAAAAAACACTGCAGTTTACCATGTCGTATGTGAACACATCTTTATTTATCCATCCATCTGAGCATTGAGAATGGTGGCAACAGTGGGATTTGAACCCATGTCTTTGAACCATTATATTAAAGTGAGCCAAGTAAATGTGAAGTGTATTAAGCTTAGTTTAATACACTTTTATAAAAAACACTGCAGTTTACCATGTCGTATGTGAACACATCTTTATTTATCCATCCATCTGAGCATTGAGAATGGTGGCAGCAGTGGGATTTGAACCCATGTCATTGAACCATACATGAGCCAAGTGAGCCGAGTAGCGCACTTTTCGCACGATTTGCTTTACATACGCGAAGACCTACAAGCGCTGACATATGTGAGGTTTCACCCATCATGTTAACTTTATGCTTTATCCATCAAAGTCATTGTGAAGCATTGAACTAAAAGTAGATGCAACAATGGCTGGGCAGTCTTTTAAAGGTTAAAACATTTTCACATTGTCATGAAAGAATTTCATGTGTTAAGCTGATAGCCCTAGTACAGGTAGGGCTTGAATCAAACAACACATCCAATGAAATTATGTTTTTCTTGTCAATTAATGTTCACGGTCCCATATTACAATTCAATAATATCTGCTAACTCATGGTACATGTACAATGTACATGAACAATGTACTGTACCTTGGACCCGCCCATAAACATCTTGACATACTGTTCATGAATGCTGTCAAGAAAATATTTGAATTGTTCATCAATATTTGAATTGAATCTTCATAGAATTTACACTGTACAAACGAATCTCTGAAAGCTGTACGAAAAATCATTAATATTCAGTAAGGGATATTATTTGTTGATTTTCAATAACAAAATAATAGGAATTTTATCTCTAATGTACATGTACACTGTACCTAAATTCAATGACCAGGTGATTATATTCTATCATCTACTGAAGGGACATGTACAGTACGTGATTCCAACTTGGCATTCACGTAATTTCTTCAAATCAGAAGTAATTGTCGTTACAGCTTGTTCGTTGTTACATCACTTTATTGATACTTCAGTAATCAAGGAACAGAGACACTATGACAAAGACATACAAAGAAAAGGGGAACTTCATAAGAAATAAAATAATGAATTTTGTGATTCTTGCTCTTTGTTATTGATTGTTATGACAAACCAATCTCAATGCCAACCATTGTTAGACATTGTTTATCTTTGTTCCTCTCATACTGATTCTTTATGGCCATACTCCAGTGCACATCGAGTGCAAATGAAAAAGAAAAAAAATCTAGAACATATATCAGAGGATATACATGTAGATTATTTTCTGAGTGTTAAAATACAAAGTGAATAAAAGCCAAATGGCATAAAAAAAATAAAATTAAGAAGACACAAATTGAGCTCCAGAACCTCGATTCATAGAAAGTTGGATATACCTGAATATCATCAAGTATATTCAAGTTATTTAGGACAAGTTCCATTTCAAAAAATCCAATTGCAATGCAAGGTGGGTTTATAGCCTTCTATATTATCCATTGTACGTGAAACTGAAAAGAAGAAAAAAAATCTCAGTATTGCTGAATCCATAACTAGTCTTTCATGGCATGATAAAATTACACAATAATGTGTGGGAATCTTTTACTTTTAATTGCCACAAGAAATTGACCTATTTCATTTGATGAGGATTATTGCCCCAGATTGCAGACAGCCTCTTGGCTGAAATCAAATTCTGAAGGGCAGCAAACACAAAAGTGAAGTAGCAAGAGAATAAAAGAAACAAATGAAAAGAAGGACGAAAAAGAAGAAGATGAAGAAGGAGAAGAAGACGAAAAAGAAAAAGATAAAGAAGAAGATGAAGAAGAAGAAGAAGAAGACAAAAATGACAGCCCCATAAAGTTTACACACTAAAAGTGAAAAAAGAACTCTCACCACAAACCTTGCGCATTAGACATAAATTGATTTTTCATTTATTTTGCTGTATGCAAACAATTTATGCTGGAGTGCAGTCCTGCTTTTGAACAATCAAATTACACAGCCATGAATTTGGCACGCCTGATTTGTGAGACATGTTTTCTCGTGCATGCACAGTACATTTGTACATCATCGATTCGGTATTCTTTTCCAACTCATCCAGCTTCCTGCTTTGGAAGGCACAATCAAACATTGTATGTCAGTGAAATTGAGATTTATAAAATGATGTTCCATGTGGACTTTGCCTCTGTCGAATCTGTTCAGATTGATATCTTCAAACCCAATCATTGTTTTTCATTTCAAAAAGTGTTTGAATCTTTTCCTTCTTTTACATCATTCACGTAATGTATATGCATGTAAGCATTTTGAAAGAATGCAAGGATGCTATCAAACACAATATTTGTTGGTCTGCTTGAATTACAATGAATGTTTAGCATTTCACTAATGCCGTTCAATTAGTTTTTGACATTTCAATTTACATCAGATTATCTGGGGAAGGCTTTGCTTCTTCATTTCTTTTGTGCTGCCTCCCCCTCATCCCACTCCCTCTCAATGCAGGATCATTAATATGAAGATCAAGATGAAGATAAGAGAGAGAGAGAGAGAGAGAGAGAGAGAGGTGGAGAGAGAGAGGGGAGAGAGAGAGAGAGAGAGAGAGGGGGAGAGAGAGAGAGAGAGAGAGATGGAGAGAGAGAGAGAGAGAGAGATGGAGAGAGAGAGAGAGAGAGAGAGGGAGGGAGAGAGGGAGAGGGAGAGAGAGAGGGAGAGAGATGGAGAGAGAGAGAGAGAGAGAGAGAGAGAGAAAGAGAGA